GTTATAGTAGAGGCTCAGTGCATGAAAATTCGTGCACTTGTAGGGGGGGTGTCCCTCAGCCCGGCCTGCACCCTCTCACAGTCTTGGAGCCCTTGAGGGATGTCCAACTGATGGCTTAGGGGAGCGGGCCTAAGCTGCAGTCTGGCTTCCCTCTGCGGGAGGTGAACAGCTGATCAGGGGAAAGCACGGCCCCCATCATTCCCTCGCTGCTGCTGCCTCCCGCAGCTGCCTGAGCCTCTTTGAGCATGTTTTCATACGTCTCTTGGCCTTCTATATGTCCTCTTTTGAAGAGTGTCTACTTAGGTCCTTTGCCCATTTTTCTTATTGGACTGTTTATCTTCCTTTTGTTAAGTTGTGTGAGTTACCTGTAAATTTTGGAAATTAAATGCTTATTGGAGATAACATTGGCAAATATGTTCTCCCATGCAGTGGGTATTCTTGTTGTTTTGTTGATGGTTTCTTTTGCTGTGCAGAAGCTTTTTATTTTGATGTAGTACCATTTGTTTATTTTCTCCTTAGTTTCCATTGCCCTAGCAGCTATATCAGTAAAGATATTACTATGACAGATTGCTTTGGGTAGTGTGCACATTTTAATGATGTTGCTCTTGCAATCCATGAACACAGTATATTCTTCCATTTGTTTATGTCTTCCTCTATCTCTTTTTTCAATGTCCTATAGTTTTCTGAGTATAGGTCTTTTACCTTCTTAGTTAAGTTTATTCCTAGGTATCTTAACTTTTTTGTTGCAGTGGTAAATGGGATTTTTTTTTTTTTAGTTTCTTTTTCTGTGAGTTCATTATTGGTGTATAAAAAAGCAATAGATTTCTGGGTGTTAATTTTGTATCCTGCTACATTGCCAAATTCATTTATTAAGTCTAGTAGGTTTTTGATGGAGCCTTTAGGGTTTTCTATGTACAGTATCATGTCACCTGAAAATTATGACAGTTTTACTCCTTTTCCAATTTGGATGCCTTTCATTTCTTCTTCTTGTCTGGGCACTATGGATAGCACTTCCAGTACTATGTTGAACAGGAGCGTCCCTGTTTTATTCCTGTTCTAAGGGGAAATGGTTGCTGTTCTTAGGAGAAATGGTTTTAGCTTTTGCCCATTGAGTGTGATGTTGGCTGTAGGATTGTCACATAAGGCTTTTATTACGTTGAGGTATGATCCCTCTATTCCCACTTTGCTGAGGGTTTTTATCAAGAATGGGTGTTGGATTTTGTCAAATGCTTTTTCTGCATCAATTGATATGATTGTGATTTTTAATTGATTTTTTTATTCTGTGATTTTTGTGTCTCAATTTATTTATGTACCAACCTTGCATTCCTAGAATAAATCCCACTTGGTCATAGTGTATGATACTTCTA